CAATTCTAAGTGCTTTTCTTGAAAGGTGGAGTATATGTGGAAGGAATGGGGAAGATAATAGTTTTCCCCCCAGATAGGGCTAGCAGTGTCATGTGGAGAAGAAAACATCTGCAGAGAAAATGTAATTATAGAGAAAACCAGAGAAATCCTAGAAACCTGAAGGCTAAAATCTGGAGCCTTCAAATGTACTTAGACAATTTCTTTATGTGAACCATGTCATGGATATGGGAAGAGTAAAACAATGGGAGAAACTCTGTTTTATTAAATGCGTGGCTCCTTTTTATTCCAGGAATTTACTAATAAATTTTATTGTCAAATTAGAATTGTATTCTAATAATGCAATCCTAAACAGAATTATTCCCTTCTAAACCTGTTGACTTGTAGGATTGCATTGTAAAAGTGCAGCGTTCTATTAGTATGTGTAGGTAGAAAGCTCTTACTGTAAGTAATGCATTGTATTATAAATGAGAACATAACTGGCTTGAAATGCCCTAGAGTGGCAGTAATTACAAAAGGACTAATGGAAACTTAAGTCAAGATCACTCTAGAGAAAATACAAATAATTTGGACAATATACCTTCCACATCTTATTCAGATTATATGGACAATGATGAAGATATTATTTATCATATCAAGTATGATGAGTAAGTGCTGCTGATATTATTATGAGGACACATGAAAGAGTGGCAGTAATTACAAAAGGACTAATGGAAACTTAAGTCAAGATCACTCTAGAGAAAATACAAATAATTTGGACAATATACCTTCCACATCTTATTCAGATTATATGGACAATGATGAAGATATTATTTATCATATCAAGTATGATGAGTAAGTGCTGCTGATATTATTATGAGGACACATGTGAGTTTATATGGTTTGTATAAACTAAGAATTTTCCAAGAAATTGGTGTCCTTAAGAAAACAAAGTCAAATTTTAAAGTTACAAGGAAGCAGAATTATAAAAGACATAAAACATTTTGTTGGATATAATGAATCTCTTGGGAAAGATGGTTTTTTTGGGGGAGTTCAGATGAAATGTCTACTTGTTCTTAAACTAATGATCTGAAAATAGCAAGACTAAATGGGCTTGAAAGACAGTGAAGAGATAATCAGGAAGTCCGTTTTTGTCAGTATGTTATTTAGTTATCTTTCATTAGAGAGAATATTCTTGGAAAGCTTGTGTGTATTTAGTATCAATATCACTTTAATATTCTACATTTGTACAGAAATCCACTGACTTTCATAGGTTAGCCACACTTAGGAAGGGATGGAGAACAATGGACAGTTATCAAATCCCGTTGCCATAGTCATTGCTTTATACGTTGTCATTGTTTGGATATATTGACCCCTAAAAAATATCAGTATGTCCCAATATTCTGGAATCCCAATACTGGTGTGGTATTTGGATTCGGGAAGTATTTAGGAAACCCAATTTTTTCTGGCTCCATTATACCTATGGGGATCATTCTAGTCAATGGTCCACATAGGGTATAATGGAGAATCAATCAGGGGATATCTGGGGCTCTGGGGGGGCTGTTTATTGAGGTAGAAGCACCAAATTTGCAGCATAGCTGCTGGTGCCTCTCCTCAAAAAACATCCTAAGTTTCAAAAAGGTTTTACCAGAGGGTCCAATTCTATGGGTCCCCCAAAGACGGTGCCCCCATCCTTCATTGATTCCCAATGGAGGGAAAAAGGCATTTAAAGAGATGTGGTCCCTTTAAATGCCCTTTGTTTGTCTATCCAGCAGTCCCCAAAACCCCAAATATTTTTGGGATTTTGGGGGTTTGGTCATTTCAGATAGATGAACAATATCCGAAATCACTGTCCAGCTGAATCAGTACCCCCCAAAATACCAGAAAGGTATTTTCCAGGTATTTTTTCAGCTTGAATTTAGTAGATTGCACATCCTTAGTCTTTGTGCACACATCTTTTGTCACAAGGTGGTGCAAATATGAGCAAGGGGATCAAATTGTAAAGCAGGAAACATCTCCTTTAGGCATGTACATATGTGATACCCAGACCCAGTTTTCAGAATCTTAAGGCTATGTATACATGAATGGAAGCTGTATTCTCACAGGGAAGTATAGAGGCACCTTTGTTTAAGTGAATAAACCTTTTATTCCCCATGGAAAGAAAATGTGGAAAAGTCAAAACAGAAGAGGTAGTTTCTGTGGCAGTAAGATATGATGAAACCCACCCATGTAAATTACTGTAATCTCTAGTTCTGAAAAGAATTGTGGCACTCAAATGTGTCTTACCTGTGCGTCCAGAGAGTAACCCACCTGGGGGGGGGGTTGGGGGTGCACTCCAAAAGGGGGCTGAACCAGTAGGGGAGATTAATTGCAAGAGGGAAGCAGAGGAGAGAGAGAATCACGATCAGAGAAGAAGAAGGTGGAGGGGGAAATGGGGTTTGCTGAGGGGAAACTCGGGATTTTTGAAGTTTGAGACAAGGTGGGGAGAGAGGTAGAAGAGAGTGGGGTTGGCCTGTGGACCAAGGATGCATTGCCAGAAGCTCAGGTAAGGGAGGGAAGGGCCAGGTTGGAGAAAGAGAATACAAGTGGAGGGGGGGAGGCAAGAGATCTAGAGCATACTCTGCCTGAGCAGTGAGTATAGCTCTGGTGGTGAAGGCAGGTCTGCAGGATGATCCTAATGTAAAATACTTGTGATAGTTCTAGGGTTCAGATGTTGCCTCACCAGGGGCTGTACTGGATGATATATTAATTTTGACAGAAGATGAGCCTGACTTTGTGATTAACTCAAGAAGGTGGATAGATTGTCCTGTTTTATGGACTGGTATTTGGAAATCTGTTTAAGTATTCAATAATGTTTTCAAAAGTCTCCCAAGTATTGACCATTCTTATGATGTTGGAATTTGAGAGTGATCTTTTGGAGCCACAAGAGAATCCCTTAGACTGAACTGTGTACTTTCTCATGGGGTTTGGTCAGACGGCGTGCTGGGAGCGGTTTAAATTGCTCTGGTCTCAATGCCTTTTTTAACCTGGAGAATTGCGATCACACTCACCTCCTTGTTCCAGATCGCTGTGCAGCCACATCGCTTCCTGCCATCCATACACGAGAGCGTGCGTTGGTGTGTTTTTTCCTCCTCTCAGTTTGGGCATGCGCACAGGCGGCCATTTGTAGAATTAAAATTTTCGCGCATGCGCAGAACAGCGATTTCCACTTCAACCCAACTGCTGTAATACTTCCATTTATACTTTAAAGGAACACTTCCCTTTAAACTTTTACCCCAAAACTGGCCTCTGTGAGATCCCAAACTTGTCTAACCAACAAAACTAGGCACCGTTTAAACATTAATAACGCGGGAGCAGAGCTCCGCCTGTGCGCATACCACCGACACTAAAATAAAATGGCGGGTAAAGAGCAGAAGCCTCGGGCTTTTGAGCAGAAGTGATCAGACGTCAGAAAAGTGCGGCTATAACCAGAGAATCAGGAAAACACCACTTGGGAACCTGGTAACAAAATATTCCGTTTTAAAGGGGGTTTGAGCCAGAAAGTGACAGCTGGAGACGGTGCGCAAATGTTGGGTGTGTGAACGTGGATATAAAATCCGTTACTGAAGCGGACTAAACGGCCCGTCTGAACGCACCCATGGGGTACCTGTTTGTCTCACATTGGGTTGGCATTTTATTCCCTTTTTTCCTGCAGGAGTCAGTTTAGGGGTCCTGCTTGTATCAAAGATGGAGCTTCTGTTATGCGCTTCTGGTGGTTCTGCCTCTGGGCTTCCTGGGTTGATGTAGTATGGTTTGTAGTATGGTTTCTCTTATTATCCTTTTTGCATCATATGGCCCTTGGACTTTTGGGGTAGCATACCGTTCTTTGAAGGCCACATTTGGCCTTGGAACTTTGGGTTACTAGTTTCTTTTTTTTCTGATTTATGGTATCTGGATAAAACTGTGCCCCAGTCAGAAGAACCCAATTCCTTTAGAGCAATTGTGCTGTAATATAGTTCAGTTGTACTTTATTTAAAAAGTAAATCTGTTAACAAATGACATGCAAGCAGTTCTATGGTATTTAGGAGGACATAATATTTAATATGAGTATGTAACTCTTTTCTAATAGCGTAAAGCCACAACCATATAACAGAGCCTAGTTCTTGCAGTAGGTGAGGAGCTGTCCAGTGTTGGCATCTGAGTGTGTAGAGGTCTGTTCTTGTTGATCTAAATACCTGAACAGTGGTCTGGTCCTAAATTTTTTAGCTTAACTATATTAACACAAGATGTTAATACAGCGCTATTATTTAAGGAGCCCTGACAGATCACAAGTTTAATGATCAATAATTGAGAATAATATATAACTTTCAGTCTGTTAACAGAGAGTTCGGGGTAGTTCTGAGAACAGATCAACATTCACATCCAGCTGAGTTGGTTGCTTATGACCTTTCCCCAATAGAACACTCAAAGATTTAAACGTTGCAATTGATTCATATGGGTTACCTGCTTGGGGCTACAAATAAAGCAGCAGTCTCCACGTATCCAAGATCCAGTCTTTGTGTTTGTTGATACTTATTCCTAGATACCAGTAGCATCACTGATGTTTCCAAAACTTTTGAAGTTGGTGAAAGAGTCATGGGGAAAATCTAGCTTCTGCATCACAGACCTACAAAAGGGTAGAAAGTCTGTACCAGATAGAGCAGGAGAGCTGTGACTTTCCATTTGCACACCCTCTCCACAGCTCTATTGCAGTGGAAGTCGCCTAGGGTGAACGGAGCCATGTACCCCACTCTGCACCTACTAATAAGGTAGAAAACTAGAAGGCATGGCCAGGAAGTTCTACTCTTCCACTGTCTTGTCTATCAGCAGGAACATCAGACCCAAGAAGGTCCAGGTGGTGACTTTAGCATTTATGTTTCCCCTTCTAACACTGGAAGTTTGGTTTTCTTGTGTAGACTTCAGTGATGCCAGTTTCCACATTTCAGATCATAAAAACATAAAACCCTGCTGGATCAGACCAGTGGGCCATCTACTCTAGCATCATGTTTCACATAGTGGCCATAGATCCAACAAACTGGGCATAGAGGCCAAGGCCTTCTGATGACCTTACCTCCAAACACTGGTATTTAGAAGCCTCCATAAACTGAGGTTCCTTTTGGTCACTACAGCCACTGATGGATCTATTCTCCATGAATTGGTGGCTACGTCCACACCATGGTGTGGTGTGATATCTGGGCAATCTGTTTTCTCTGCAGTGTCAGCTGTGATTTCTCTTTCAGACCTGATTTGGATTGCATTGAAACCCCCCCCCCCCCCCCCGGTGCTGTGTTGTCACTTAAGTGAGCAGCGTGTTCTCTGCCCATTTTTTTAAACTTACGGGTGCTTCTGCAGCACTGTTTAGGAATAGCTCAGTACTGCTGTTAGCAGAATTCCTGTGTGAATTTGCATGGCATTGAGTAAGAATAATGCTAATCGGGAATCCTTCTGCTACCTCTGTTACTTCCCTATCCTTCTATATTGACTTGCCTGAAGTTGGCTGTTCTGCCACTGGCTTTACGGTTTTGTTTGCATGGATTCTGTTCCCTGTTTGATTCACTGGTTGGAAAGGTGTGGATTTGATCAAAACTACAACATGGGCAGGATGTTTTCTTCCCTAACTTCCCTTTATTCTACATGGTTCAGGTGCTGATTAACATTTTGGAAATGTCAACAATGTCAGTGAGAGTGGGAGTAATTTTTCCAGCACAAAAATGTAGACTCTAAAGTGGAAGGAATCCATTAACCAATCAGTAGGTGAGGGGAAGCTTTCCTAATAAAAATTTCATGCCAAAGATAGCAAGAAATTCATCATTAAGTTGAGGGGGGGGGACACACAC